TTCCTCGTTCCTTTTCAGTCTGTGAGGGGAAATTAGTGATGACTAAGACAGTTGTAAGTGTCTGAAACTTCCGGAAAACCCTAAGTGCACAAGCACTTACCATTTCCCTAGTTCCCCACTCAGTCGCCATTGTCTGTCGAGTTAAAGAGACTCGTCGAGGAGAATCAGCACAAGAGCACATACTCACAGATTACACGCATAGAGCGTCACTGTTTGTTTGTTTTACGCCAAACTCGGCAATATTCCATCTATAGGACGTCGACATGTAAATAATCGAGTCCTGGTCATGGCAAACCAGTGATTGATATTATGAGCAACGATCCACTCCATCGGGGTAAGATGACACGCAATCAACCAAATCATCGAGCCTGAACACCCGTTCAGTTAAGTCGCCCCGAACGAACTGCATGGGTTGCTGTGGGCCAATTCTAACTCCCCACAGTTAAGTGTTACTGATGCGAGATGGCGATATGGGCCGACCCATTATTTCACCCGAGACCCTGAATGTTGTACCTCATTTTTACTTAGTCGTCAGCAAAAATCATCTCAACCTTTGTTTCATAAAATAAAATAAAACTATCTCGACCTATACCTCCCACGTTTCACCAGAAAACAACTTATTCAGTTGGTAGCAGGCTGGGGAAAAGGATGGGGTGTATATGCTATTTCATCTAAACAAATCTCACACGCATAGTTGGTATATATCTACAGTTATATCACGGCGTGTCAGCTTAATGTGGGAGGAAAGCCCGAAGTGATGCAGGTCTCAGACGTTTACCACTTCGGTGAAACCCACGAGCACGGGTATGGTGCTGACAAACCTAGAAACATAATCAAGGTGAACCGGGATTCGAACCCACAATCATAGGTTTCTGGCGTGACCAAGGGACGCAACTCTGCACAGCTAATTGCTGCGCCTTAGACGACTGGGCAACCCGTGCCCCCGTTTGTATGATGAATCTTTGACTGTTAGACGACGAATGATTGGTCGTTTGTATGAGGAATCTTTGACTGTAAGACGACATATGATAGGTCGTTTGTGTGAAGAATCTTTGACGATGTATGATTGGTCGTTTGTGTGAGGGATTCAAAGAATGAAGTCCTAAAACACATAAACTGTTCCACCTGAGATGTAACGAAGGATTGTGTATCTCAACATGGGCTATACCACAGTTAACCCCGAGCAATTCTATATATTATTCTTGTTCATGTTAATCACGAATTCCACATATTTACGGAGTGATATGAGAGGTCATTCCAGCTTCTTCATCAGGCCCTGAGTTGAATGTGGGTGAACTTCTAGCTACTCCCAGAATCACGCGAGGGGCTAAACACAGACTTGTCAGACTAGTTGTAAACGAGGTGTTGAAATGGAGGCGATCTAGATCAGGATCGGACATTGACTTCATGACATAGTTCGGGATTGAATAGGTACAATTAGTGACTTCAGTCATTCTTTATACTCCAATTGAGTTCTGGACAAGATACCGATCCTTGGTTAATATTCAGTGCCTTAACATAGACTTACGACAGTGGTAGAACTAAGGCCGGACCAAATATAATGTAGTATGTTGTTGGAGGCAGTAAAATTAATTGAGAAATGATTTTGATATTTTGGACTCCTCCCGTTTGAAAATGCCGGATACGCCCTTAAAAAATTGCCATTGCATACGCGGGAACAACACCCGTCTCATTATGGCAGCATAATTATTAGCATTATTGAGCTATGGGTCTCAAATCCGTATGTAATTCCTTTATCATTATAATAACACACCCCCCCCCCCCCCCCCCCCAACACACACACACCCCTTCTCCACCCCCACCCGATCCCTCCTCATTTAGTTCAGTCCCCCACAGCTACACCCCACCCTCGAACCCCTACGTCAACGCAGTCGGACGTCCATGTTAACACAGCCTCGTTGTAACGAAGTCTCAAATAGTTGATTGTGCTTGCATTGACAACACCAGTGGTCTTATCCGTTATCGATGTACTGGAATTCTGAAGGTGCCCTATCGTATTACAAGTAAACTTCATACACAACTTCCCTCATCAACCGATGCCTTGTGCATTCACCGAACCCTTTCATCTGTGTCGAGAGTAAAGAGCACGCGCATATCATAAACTTCTCACATCCTCAACACGGAAGCAAATGATAGAAAGTGATATACATGCGACTCCGACGGCAGTGTTAGGAGAATGTGAACCTTGAAGTGGGCTTCTTGCCAGATTTGAGAGTTCGTCAGATACGGGCTGTGTTTGAGAGCCGCCTTTCCAAGCTGCCTCTGATGCAGCTGATAAGTATGTTGCTGCGAACATGAAACGTGCACGCGCGGAACCAAGAAATATTTCAGAAATAAACTGGAGACAAGATCCACTTGTTGAGACGACATGATAAACCACGGTTTGGTTGAGAGGAATTTATAGGGAGACAGAAATATATCATACATCTGTGTCTTATTATATGAAGGCACGACTCACGTGCACTTGTCTCCCAAACTGCGAGAAGATACACTTCGCTCCATAGGAAGATAATCGAGGCAGATCATGTACTGCGCTTCTATCGTTAACCATGTCAAATACTGTTCAGGAAGACATACTATTTTCCTAACCAAATGGTCTTTGGTGAATGGAATCGTTTTCGTATTATTTTGGCTGTAAAAACAGATTGTGCGCCATTTTTTATGTATATTATGGCAACCATATACAATTAAGCAGACATATTCACATATAAGTATATCACAGTTAATCAAAGCGAGATTTTACAAGAGTGTAAGCTAACACTTTTTAATTTATTCTAAGTCTTTTCCAATAATGTATATAGTTTCCAAAAACAGGTTCCCAGCAGCACATGACCAGCTGATGACAAGAATACCATATGGAAACTAGTGTGTTCATGAGTCATTTCTTGATAAATAGAAAAAAACACATGTATTTATATCCTTAAATATTACATCTGCCATCAAGTCTCTTTAAACCCTTGCGAGGTAATAAATAATTTATTGGTTGTCTTTGTTATGGATTAAAAATGATGTTTCCTATAAATTAAAACTGATTTTTAAAAAAATAAATAAACAAGAAATGACGCATGTCCCATACACTATTCAGTCATTTATTGAAATGCCTTTAATTTTGGTGGAACGAAACTAACTTAGTCGGGGAATTGTACATAACTTCTTTACTTAGAAGTACATTAAATTGGTCAGGGAAATGAATATAGCTTTCTTACATAGAAAGACATAAAATTAGTCAAGGAAATGACTATAAGTTCCTTACTTAGAAATACTTCAAATTGATCAGGAAATGACTTGCTTTCTTACTCAGAAATACAATAATTGGCCACGGAAATGAAACTACAACAGAAATAGAAAGTGATTCAGAACGAATCTTCAGAACTACAGATGCCACACGAATAACCACATTACGAATGGTAGGTAAAGAGTGATTCAACCGCGTCTTTCAGTTCCATCTGCTCAACATATGCAGCAGAAACCTTGATTCATCACGTTCACCTCTGTTCCCCGACCTTATGTAACCAACATTGGCTTCCTTTAGTCATAAAAACGCCGGTATAAAGCGTGACCTAGATTTCCACCGACCTCCGTCGACTTAATCCAAACTGTTACAGGTGTAACCTGCAGGACTGCAATTGATTATACCGCATAAGTAAGATGCTGTTTGTTCCCCAGAAGAAATATACTCCCTATGTATGTCAAATCCACAAAACCCCTTTTCTGCCGAGGTTTCTGTGCACACCACTTACTAGCCTTGCTCAAAGGCTGTACTGAATGGTGAGTCCATGGGTGAACAGTAAGTCCACTTTATAATAGGCAAGTCTAGATAAATAGACAGTATTCTAAGGACGCCAGTCTCTTATAGGGACAATCTGTTCTTATTATTTATATAATCAAGAAATTATGATTTAAACTAATAATTACTGCCTTAGAGACTTATGCAAGTCTACTGTTGTACCTCTGACAATAGGCCTCATTCACAGGAACTCGTTATTGGTAATTTTACATAAAGGGGTACACATTTTATTTACTTACCAATAACGAGTCCCCGTTGCGTAATTGTGCTGCTTAATTTGATATACGATATAAGTAATGGTCTGTTAATCATGTGGCACATATATATAATAACCTCATTTCGGTATAGAGGTTAACGAATGCAATATAATGCCTATATTTGCATATAGAAACTCTTAAGTATATTATACGATATAAGTAAAAAACTCATTTCTGTGCGTGCAATACAGTGCTTCTACTTGCATACAGAGGCTCTTTAGTATATCATACGATATCAGTAATAACCGCGTTTCTGTGTATGCGATATGGTGCTTATACTTGCATATAGACACTCTGTCGTTGATTACACAAGTAAAGATCAACAACATAAATACACCGCATTGATCTTCTATAACAGCCCAGGAGCTGAATTCATTCATACTGTGAAATCTCCTGGGAACACTGCGGACATTACAGCTTCGTTGCCGAACACGTTAGTGATGTTAAAAGAATTCAGACATCAAACCATGAAACCCGGATGATAGATGCATGGGGTCATAGTAACGAATATCAAAGTGGTATATATTTAATAACAAGCAAATGTCCGATAGTGTGGTGAGGTGTCTGGGCAACCAGCTCGAAGTTACGAACCATTTGCACACATAAACTTAAACTGTATATTGTTTGATAGTTATGGAAGCACTAATCAATGTTGAATGTGATTCAGTGAAACATCAATATGGAATATACATATTAGTGTCACAAACGTGTTTAGAAGCTTAGAATTTTGACGCACGTTCAAAAGCAGCTCAAATTCCTTTTCAAAGCATCGGGCGACATCAAAGCATCTGGTGTTATTACAATGTCATTATGACATAAGCAGTAAATAACGGCGATATATATACACTTCTGGGTAGTTATACACTGTAATGGCAATCCGGTGTATATTTCTTCTATATTTCCCACCTCGTATAAAAGACATGGTATAAACTTACCAACTTGTTGATTGGTCTATATGTTGAGCGACGGAGTACCCAAACATAGACCCCACTTCTCCTGAGTGAACCATAGCCCCTTCTATATCCACATTGTAGGCTCTTCCGTCTTGAAGAAACAAGCTCACGAATATCACAACGACTCCGCTCACAAACATTTTTATCTTTTGGTAGGTAACACAAGCATAAACTCCTTTTCCAAAGATCATGGTTTTTGTAGACGTCCCGTCACAGATCTATAACCTCAGCATCCTCGGACGCAGTTCGATTACTTTTAATAAACTGGCTACAAGTTTTCACGTCTTGGACCTATTTCCGTTAACTCAAGAAGGGTGCTAGGCGAGTCCATTACAACCGCGGGGGTGTGCATCAGGACGTGCCGATTGGTGGTGCCGATGTGATGGGAGCGCCACGCTACCATAAATGTAAGGCAAGCCGGTCTCCCTGAGTCAGCTCGCCCGATATACGATTGCGGGGGGAGGTGCGGGGGAACTCTCTCTCTACAACGCTAGTCGGTGGTCACGGTAGATTCGCCAAGCCATAGATTTACTCCGGTGGTTGTCAATGATGAAAGAAGGCACATAGAAATACCGAAACGTAGGACAGGAGAGGCCCGGCGTTCCGTGTGTACACTGACGAGGGATGGACAGACTGGCTTAAATCATTATCGTACTTATCTAAATATAAAGAGAATGGGTCAGAACCTCATCCATACTAACAGCATCGCCCAGAGGCTTACAGAGCACGGCTCGAGGGAGTCCGGGACGGTTTTGAATTTGATGATATTTTACAGCGCACAGCCGCCGACGTTTGTTATATCCGAGGCGGACTATAAAGTTATCGTCTGTTCTTAAAGATTGAAGATTTAAGTATTCGACCTCTGTAAACGGAGTATCTAGAAACCAGTGATTTGACCCCCATTGAGTCTAGTTTGTGTAAGAGGTGGACGGCTTCGGTAGGAATACAAGCCTCTCCTCCCTCAATTATACACACCCACGATTACCATAGTAACGAAGAACGTCAATTATCCATATTGTACCTGCATCTGTGAACGAACAGTTAATGAATGAGATTTTTATATCTATCATCCAAAACTGGCTCACACAGGAGATATCGTTTTGATGAGACCATCGCTATAATGAAATTGCATCACAATGCGTTGCATGCCATTGTGACGTCATCGCTTACTATGACGTCACAATCAAATGACATCACTAATCTCTCTGCCAATGAAGCTGGTCAGCTGTATTTTTTATACTCAAAACACAAGACTCGGAGTTTTAAACTTCCATCGACGCGGTGAAAATCTATATCTCTCCATCATCGCTAATTAGGTGTTTGAAATATCTTATTGGGCAGTCTTGCTTGACAAGGATATAAGGATCTATACCGAGACGTCGCCTTTACAGTAATTAAAGAAGTAGTTATCCATAAAGTGTGTCTACTTTGATATCTAAAGTAGTTCTTACATCTCTATAACAGACAGACATATAATTTAATTTATGTCGCACACAGCCGCACACAATAAAAAACATGCATAAAATAGACGTTTATACATAAAAATGATAATACAGCGCCACTCATATAAAGTTATGAGAGACCATACACAAAACTGGTTGATATACACCAATTCCAAAATAACAATAGCTTCCTGCGTTGTAATATTAAAAAGCAGGTTTTGGCAGTGACACGTACCTCATGTTTTAAAAAGACAAACAATTTCTCTTTGTTTGACCGATTTAAAAAGTTGGACATCTTAGCCGTTATACTCGTACTAATAATGTAGTAATGTAGATCTTAGATCATCGTATAGTGGACACTGAAATAAAACATGTTTTCCATCTTCAAGACCCTGTCTTCAACCTTTTAGCCTGTTTCAATTCTTAAAGGTGCAGTACCACTTCTAAATTTTGTAAAGGCAGATCGGTAACTCCGGGGCATACAACTCTTGACATATTTCACAGCAACAGCACTCTTTAAAAAGCCTATACGTACGGGGTTTGCTTCATTCGTGAGCAACTCGTGTTATTCCGGGACAAGCCGAATAGTTACGGAAAGGGGCGAGTGGTGACGAATGGGTTTGCTTGTACCAGTATGAACATTACGTTTCCATAAAAATTCCCGCCAGCTTAAACGTGAGTTCCATTTCTTGTGATTAGCTGCACGCCTTTCCGCCCATAAAACGACATGTTTATTCATTCGATCAGGCATATTTCTAAAACGACACCACTGTCTAGCTATACATATCCATTGTCTACAACACGAGCCAGGCTGGCCTCCTCGTCCGGGTGTGTGACAATGAAACATTGTCTCTTTACATCAGAAAAACAGGATAGGCGTTGAAACAAACTTATTTAGATTGTCAAATGTCCCGAACAAAAACGGTTCCAGTACGTATTTCCGAAAAGCGCTGAATTTGTATTAGACTAACACTTTTTCTCTGAAACCATATTTTGATAGAAACAAGGAACTCCATTTAAATTGAAAAGGAGACACAGTGAGATAGAAGATACAGAACCCGAGGAAAATATAGACTTGCTTCATTTGAAGTATTGCATTACGGAAAGGTCTGAGCAGAGGTGAAAATAACTTGGTTCAGGGACTGTGAGACAGACTTGATTTTTATAATCGCTCATTCTCACCAAATACGGACTTGGTTAGTCTGTCATACAGAACCTGAAACATATATATCCAATATCTCTTTTTTATTATATTTTATAACTATAACTGATTTTTCTGTAAAATATGTTCATTTCAGAGACTAAATGTTAGCCTAGGATTTGGTCTTTGACCGATGCAGGTTCGAAGAGTACGTTTCTATGTACACGTATTTTCTTTACTATCAATATGTGTTCGAGGTTTATCCACCCTAAAACATGTACATTGTAACGCTTAACAAGAAGACGCACTCCCTCATACACCGACGTCATAGCTTTGTAAACACAATGACCACAAAACAGGTAGCTCGTCACTACTGTTTCCGTTGAACTCACATACCCGAAATACGTACCCTCCGTTATCAATGGTAATATGTCATAGGTGTGTCATTACTATCGGATATTAAGAATAGTATCCACGTTACTGTGTTTCATACGGGTTTTGTAGTTTGATGCCGCACCTTTTTACGGGTCTTGAAAATTACTGTCACACAGATAGATTTTACGACACTTCAATTAATACGAGTGCTGTGTCTACGTGCGAAGTACAACAATATAATATAGACCCCGTGCTCTGATTTTAGTTAGTTTGTTTGTTGTTTAACGCCGCACTCAGCAATTCCAGCTATATGACGGCGGTCTGTGAATAATCGAGCATGGACCAGACAATCCGGTGAATGAAATCATGAGCATCGATCCCCGTAATTGGGATACGATGACATGCATCAACCAAGTCAGCGAACGCATATATATATACAAAAATGAGGTAAATGTTCACTCGGTGTACATGTAATATATAATAAAATAATAAAGTCCACGTTAGTCCATCATCTTCTTTATATCAGTTTCATACACTGAAGAGCTGTCACGAGACAGCGAAAGTACTATGTATGAAACTGATATAAAGAAGATGATGGACTAACGTGGACTTTATTATTTTATTATATATTACATGTACACCGAGTGAACATTTACCTCATTTTTGTATATATATATATATATATATATATATATATATATATATAATGTTAGTTAGTTAGTTTGTTATGTTTATATTCAAATATATTTATATATATTTCTTTCTCATGCAGTTCAGTTAAATGGACGCAAGGTTAAAACGTAAAAGAATAATTGGTTTGCATTCTAGAAGTTGGCAAATAATTTAGATAAACGTACGACTTCATGGATAACAACTTCTGGTTTATTGCATAGAGCGACGTTTCGACGTTGATTCTTACACCGTTATCAAGATGGAGTGACAGCAACCAAGTGATGAGAGGTATATATGCATGACATGTTGCGATAAGCAGCAGAATAACAGACAACAACGGTAACAGATAACAAGCAGATAATTGGATGAAGCCAAATGTGCAGTAAGGATAACAAATAACACACATCTCACAATTCTTATCAGGCCGCCTTTGTGGCCTAGTGGTAGAGTCGGCCAGGAGAGCGGAAGGTCCGGGGTTCGATCCCCGGCTGCGTCATACCAAAAGACGTTGAAAGATGGTACCCTGCCTGGCGCTCGGCATTAAGGGGCTAAAACAAGGACTGGTCGGCTCAGAGTCAGTATACTGTGTCTGAATTTGGTATTCATGTTAAACTGCGGCATGGTATCTCAGTGGGCTAGCACTATAAAATCGGCATCAGTCCGGACTAGAACAAGCAGACACACACACACGTGCATACACGTCGCTGTATAAGTACAATAATCTTGGACGCGACGTTAAACCCAATTTCACCTCACCATCTTCTAATCAGAAACTTTCCAGTATTTCTCTTGCACGTGAGTATGAAATTATTGTACGTTCAGTTTGGCCTTCACACAATATGAAGGTGCAAACTTATCAACTAGCACAAACTGAAATTCAAAGAATTCTTTAATTTAGCAAATCAATCAATCAATTTTAATTCGTAGATGGCCGTAGGTCCACGTACAAAATGAAATAAAGCGCTGAGTGACCAAACATGCTTAACATGTGTTTATCATACAGGTACGAAGAACGTTATGCTAAGACATCACTTATGAGTGAGTGAGTATGGTTTTTACGCCGCTTTTAGCAATATTCCAGCAATATCACGGCGGGGGACACCAGGAATCACACATTGTACCCATGTCGGGAATCGAACCCGGGTCTTTGGCGTGACGCGCGAACGCTTTAACCACTAGGCTTTTTATGAATGTACACAGGTAACTTTATAAAAAAAAAGTTATGGCGCCGGTCGTGATTTGCTGTACGTTCAGATAAAAAATGAATTTCATCTTCAACAATATTATTGGTGCATATTTCACATGACCGACATTATCTAGAAACTCCTTACCGACTTCCAGTATTTGTATGTGAAGTTAATTCACCAAATCGTAACGAGGTGATTCTGCGCTGTGACTCATATTTCATATTTAGCAGATACGGTTCTATACAAAAGGAATGCTTGATATTGGGATACATATCCAGAGAAGCTTTGAATGTCAGAGAAGATATATATAGACTGTTCATAACACTCATGTACTTGTATCCTTGTGTGAAATTCGTTAAGAAAGCTGATTTATTACCAACTCCCTGCGATTCCCAGAGAACTCCAATCCAAAACTAAACAGAATAGTTTTAACGTCGTAAACCGAGTTTTCCTGCCAACATGAACTAAATTATATAACATAATATAGCATTATTTTGGGTATCTATCCTCTGGCAGTTGCAAAAGCTTAAACCAGTATTTTTCAACTCTTAAAGAGAAATCAACAAACATATAATTTCTGCCACATTCAGCTAAAATTGCAACATTTGTAACTTATACCCAATACATACAGACATGCAACGGTCCACAAGTGCCGATTTCCGAAATCCCCATAATTCCGATGAATTCAGATCAATAGGCTTTTTCTGAACATCAAATATTGTAAACAGGAGATATATTCTTAAGTCTGTTTGCGAAGATATTAAGTGGAGACAATGCCTTTTCAAGTGCAGATGCAGGATTTTTAAAAGGAAGGGGCCCAATAACAAAATGCTCTCTCAGTGAGTGGGGAGGGCTTGCCTACAGCATAATACATTTGGTTTTCAAAAGTGGAGGGAGGGGGGACCTCCTGGGCTGGATTTTGAACCGCACTTGACCAGGAAAGTCTGTGTGAAAAGAACAATCCCAAATAAATATATGTTGAAATGTTTAATCTTCTATCTCCAAAATACCCGGCTTCATCTTCTCTCACTTGCCACCATTTCTAAACACCAACACTTCCATTACATGAGGGGTGGTGGGGTAGCCTAGTGGTTAGAGCGTTCGCTCGTCGACCCGGGTTCGATTCCTCACATGGGTACAATGTGTGAAGCCCATTTCTGGTGTTGACGCCGTGATATTGTTGGATTATTGCTAAAAGCAGTGTAAAACAACACTCACTCACCCCGTTATACTAATAAAGCGATAGTTAAACCCTATTTTGAGCAAGAGTGTTAATCTTTCTCTGCAAACTGCCAGAAATCTATGATTGTGGATTCGAATCCCGGTTCGCCCCGATTATGTTTCTAGGTTTGTCAGCACCATCCCCGTGCTCGTGGGTTTCACTGAAGTGTTAAACGTTTGAGACCTGCATCACTTCCGGCTTCCCTCCCACATTAAGCTGACACACCATGATATAACTGGAATACTGTTAAAAGCGGCGTTAAACCCAACTCACTCACTCTGCAAACTGATGACAGAATCAGCAATTAAACGAAGATCATCTGCATAAATAATATTTCCAAAAGCTCGGGACCAATAAATATACTTTTGTCACCACAGTGTGTGATGAAAAGAGAAGCGGACTTAAAATGGAACCTTGACTACCCGGCTGAGAGAGTCAAAATACTGGATCTTGATTATTTTTTTTTTTAATACACATCCCTTAAGATATTAAACATATAATCTCTAATATTACTTTGTACCATAACTCACCAAAGAATATCTCTGGTAACTGAATCAAAGGCTTCACGGAAATCAACAAATAAACAATAAAAACGACCTTTAGATTTGAACTCAACAAACAGTTCCAAACGATTATTTAGAATACAAGTAAATACTTGTTTCTATCACATTCAGTCTCCATCAAACTGGGGGCACGGGTGGCCCAGTCGTCTAAGGCGCCGCGATTCGCTGTGCAGAGTTGCGTCCACTGGAAACGCCAGAAACCACATGATTGCGAGTTCGAATCCCGTTTCACCGTGATTATGTTTCTAGGTTTGTCAGCACCATACCTGTGCTCGTGGGTTTCACAGAAGTGGTAAACGTCTAAGACCTGCATCACTTCAGGCTTTCCTCCCACATTAAGCTGACACGCCGTGATATAACTGGAATAATGTTAAAAGCGGCGTTAAACCCAACTCACTCACTAAACTTGAAATGACCTCCTATGGAGGAATTTGTCGGAGGTATGATGTCAGAGTAAATGTAATGTTAATGAGATTGCAGCATAAATCATAATCTTTGCCAGCACCAAACAATTTGTGGTTAACTTTGGTTGAATGGAGATACAGAAATATATTCCTCAACAAGTTTCAGCTGAGACCTCATGCTGATGAAGACAATTAGCACCCATGAGCATTGGTGCAGACAATCCAAGTGGCATTAACAGAGGGATCTGGGATTCAAACCCACAATGAGAAGATCCTGGCACAACAAGTGGCATAACTCTGCACAGCTAAAGCTGGCACCTTACTCTTGACCAACTGCTTTCACAAGAACCACTGATCTACAAAACAAAACAAAACAAAACAAAACAATCACATAAGCAAGATGCAAGTTTATTCACAGCTGCAAGACATTTTTTGGTTATTGAAAAAAGAAATAAGAGCAGTAGGCGACTAAGTTTTAAGAATATATTGCTTAATGATCTCATCTTTTTTCAAACTTTTCACAAAAAAAGTTACAGTATTCAAGTACAGAGCTTTTCTATGGGTCAAGGTGACTGAGGACAAAGTATATTTTTTTCTGTTATCAAATATAGTAAACTACGGTTATAACGAACACACTTATAACAAACTGACGGATATAACTAACTTACTTTTTTGGTCCCGACTATTTGCTGTAGTTATGCTGTATATATGCTTATAACGAACTACGGTTATAACGAACTAAAATAATAGTCCCTTTGAGTTTGTTATAACCATAGTTTACTGTATATTGTTCACAATGATTTTGATATTGAATTGTTTGATCAATCAGTCTGTTTGTAATTTGAAAGAATTAAAACAATTTCATCACATTATCAATACATTGTAAGAAAAAACACCTCTTCAAGTAAGTTTCAAAGAGGGAAAATCAACTGCATAGACAACCTAGGCAATGACAAAACAGAAGCTCAAGAGTAGAATATGCAGCACAAGCAACATAGAAGAGGAATACACAGACCCACATAAGATGTAGATGAACAGTGATTCAGAATCTAACACACAACAAAACTGATCCCGTTTGAGAATGTACAAAGAAAAATATTTGGAATAAAAATCCTATATTTTTCATGGTGCTGGGCCCACTTGCATAAAGCGATCTTAGCACTATGATTATGTCAAGTCTATGTCAGAGTATGTGAGATATGATCATTGTAGTGCTAAGATTGCTTTGTGCGAGTGGGCCCTGGTCTTTAACACAAGGGGGGAGGACTTTCAGAGCTTACTGCATGAGGGTTATTACACTACTTTATCAGTACTTCTGTAACGTTTTGAGTGCCAGCTTGATGTGGGCAGAAAGCCGTACCATGGAGAATCTGGGAACCAAACCTGTGACCAGGGGATCCGGTTAACTAAGGGAAACAGCTCTGCAGGGAATTTGACAACTGAGTTACCTACCCCTTGCCTCCAAGTGAGTGAGTATGGTTTTACGCCGCTTTTAGCAATATTCCAGCAATATCACGGCAGGGGGTCACATGAAATGGGCTTCACACATTGTACCCATGTCGGGAATCGAACCCGGGTCTTCGGCGTGACGAGCAACGCTTTAACCACGATGCTACCCGACCGCCCCCCTTGCCTCCGAATTTACAGTTCATCTACAACTATTGGTGATAACTAAACCATGAAACAAAATACTGATTAGCTGAATATTATGCATAGAACACATTGGTCATGAAAAGACAGTGAGATACTTGCCCTATCAAATATGTAACAAAAAACTTATTTCTTTTTACAATTAATAAAACAAAGATTATAATGTTTGTCAACTTGTACTTTTGAATTTATTTTCAGTGTTTTGCCTTTGGTAGGGCAGAATCTCTCATCTACAGCCTATAAACAAGCCAATGTTGAATAAACAAACAAATATATCAAAGTTTCCTTTCAATTTCCAAAACAACGTTACCATTCCATAACAACATTACAATTCTGTAACCGTACCCTAAATGTATAAATATACAATAACACAGGCTGAAGAAAAGATATACAACGAATTGAGTGAAAAAGTAGTCAATCTGCTTGAGACTTGAACCAGCAACTTTTGTGAATCATGGAGAAGTGGGATTCGCTTGATTAAATTTTTTTTTCAGGACATCAACAATTTCACAAATACTTTATTTGAGGAGCAAGGGGATGTCTCAAGTTTTTATTTTTCGACACAGAACTTTTGAACTGTTCCCTAACTGGATAACAATCAGGGACCTGTTATAACAAATAGGTTCAATAACAAGATGTTTTTCTTGTGACATATTACAAAATGGGTTAAAGATTTGCCTTTTCTGTACAATTCTCAAAGATGAATTCTTGTGACTGATATTACAACATGGTTTTCTGTACAATTCTCCATGATCTGAAGGTATGGAGTAAATCCTCTGGTGCACCCTTGTACACTACGCTGCCTGGTACATGTGGACAGTAAGTAGAAAAGCCAGCAATTGTCTCATACCGTCACACAACAAGGCTAGGTCCCTGTTCACACAGCGACCGTAGCCCCACGACTGTCTCAACCTCCATCGTTTAACATAGACTTACGACAGTCGTCGAGCTATGATCGCTTTGTGAGACAGGGACCCTGTACCAACAATAAAATTCAAGTTTCATGCATCTACATTGACCCTGGTCAAATATTATTTATAAGTCAGTTATCCATATTTTTCAATTTAAGCCATTTCTGTTTCTGCACATTTCCAATTTATATTTAAAAGTTGAAAATTGTTAAATGTTTTGTTTTTTTCAAATATTATTTTCTTTACATGTTGTTTTAAAATTCAACATATATTTTTTTTTTTAAATGTCATTTCTATTATTGAAATTTTTTCTTTATATTTACAAATTAAACATTGTTAAAAGAAATATTTCAAAAATAAATTTTTTTAAAATTCAACACACTATTTTGATACATTCCCTTCTGACTTGGAACTTGAACCAAGGAATAAGCAGTACCCAATGGTGAATCAATACCTTTTTTCATTATTTGTGATAATTGTACTGTTTCCAAAAACAAAGACAATTCAAAGTGACTTCATGTCTCACAATATTTTTCCAAAATTGGTTGATGAATGTGATAACAATGCAATAAAAAGAAATCGAAATTTTTCAGCCCCGTTGACTGAATGTTTGAGACAACTGCTCCAGAAACAAAAGCAGGAAATTACAGACATGTTGAGATAGGACCGAGACAGAGACAGGTCCAATATGTACAAAAACATCATAAAATCCAACTTTGAGTTATTTAAATGTTATGATCCACATGATCTGAATGATATTTTCGCCAGTAAAAGACAGATCGTAACATCGACAAACCTTGCTCATGTCTTAAAATTCCCATCATGATGGTTCACCAGGATATCAACATTTACTGTCATCGAAAACAGTATTTAAATTTGATGATGCTTTACTTCCATTGGAAAAATTTGATGCAATACAAAAATATGTTTATAAAGCACTAAAAACTTCATCAAGTTAGACTTGGTCATGTAAGATTTAACACAAACATGGTGTGTGCATATAATGGGGAATGGTATGGCACTTCTTCCTGCAACCCCCCTACAGGAGAATATCAAAGACAGGAAGCCCGTCGGACGTCTTCTCAACGTCAGGTTTGGGGAGGGCAACTTCGCTGGACTGGCGTTGGTACGGGTTGACAGACTTGAGGCGGATCTTGCGGCGAAGCTGGTTCTTGATGTCTTTGCCGCCCCCGCCGCCGTGTGACTGGGACAGGCTGACGTCCGGGGGGGACGGGGGCTGCTCATACAGGGAGTCCGACGTCGGCAGGTTGTCGATCAAGGACCCAGGGTACGACATGCTCTGAATGTTCACTGGCAGAAGAATATTTAAAATATAATACTAATAATACTTCTGATAATACTAATAAAAATTACTACAAACATAAAAGAAATAATACTAAAAGTAAAATATTTATTAATAATAAATAAATAGAAGCAATAAAATCCTTTCTTTTATCATAACTAATCTCTGCTAAAAGCAGTCCATTGAACGATTCTGATAATTGTGTATTTATAGTGTTGGGGAAATGGAGAAACATGTGTCAGTGTTCAGGATTTCATGAGCTCAAATTCACCACGACCAAAAGCATAATACACTGGGACCCGTTTCACAAAGAGATCGTAGCGCTAAGACGGTCGTAAGTCTATGTTAAAGTATAGGAGTTACGGTTGTCGTAGCGCTATGATCGCTTTGTGAAACGGGCCCCTGGACACTGGCGGAGTGTTCACTTGTGACATCTATGTGAGAAAAACTGGCCAATCCGAAAGTTCAACATTCTGACGAGGTTGATAAAAAGTTTTCACTCCCCATTTAATGTCATGCCTTTTGATGGGCGTTAGAGAATCGGATTGGTGTCACCAAGGGCAATGGGTCTATCATGTAATGTCTGGTCATACATCAAAAGAGTTTCAGCAATCTAAGGCTAAAAAAAATAATAGTCTTGGTTCTCAGGCACCATATGCATCATCATAAAGTCTGCCGCACGTTTCGTTTTTATTTCCATTTTCCCAAAAAATCCTAGTACTGTAAATCGTGAAATTAATGTGTATCCAAAAATGCAACTCAATATGAATGTGACACCCCCTCCTCTCAAGCATCAGTGGATTTATATCTGAAGAAAACGTCCTCTGTCAGGTTTACAGGAGAATCCTCACATTAATCCAACCTTACAATAATTAATCCAATCACACACCAAAAAGCACCGCTTATAAGCGCTGAGTAGAGTCGGCCTTTGACGCAGTCACAAAGGTGGTGTCTGTCTGAACTTGCAGGTGTGATCAGTGATGACATAAGTGAGTGGAACTCTTGTCTTGACCTAAGCAGTGACAATTCACAGGATGTAATTAGTGTTTGAATGACATTGTTTATATACTTGTTACAAGTGCTGCTCAATAAACAGTGATGTGGAATACATAGTGGTTTGTTTTCACTGATGTCTAAGCTGGTATTTCTGCTTTAAAAAATGTCTTATTGTTGATATAAATGCGATGTTTAATAATGCAAGCAAAGACCACTCGCATTTTTCGCATGTAATTCACGCTCGCATATCAAGATTTACAGTATGTGATCCAAAATAGCACGTAGTTACTTCCTGTTACATGCGCACTGCTTTACTGCGCATCTTGTGTTGTGGTCATGGCGGCAATAGGAGTTTGTATGCTTGTTTATGTAGCCCTTTCCTAGGTTGATGGTACACAACTATTTTGTATATATACCAGTTTGAACAAGTAAAGCAAAATAAAAACTGCCCGCTCGCACTATATTTTCAAGTCATTGCCTGAGAACCAATTCTTTTAGTTTTAAAAACCTAAACATAATCTTTGTTTAAAGGAAAGATAACTCACAAGGCTGAGAGATGGATTGATTCTTCAAGTAGGTGCATGCCTGTCTGGCACTACATCGTTTGCCAGGGTTACCTTCCAAGGCCGCTGTCAGAAGATCACGCATCTCTTTGGGCCAATCGTCCTTAATGGCGAGTTTCTGGGTAAAGCTTGGGTTCTGGGCCAACTGTTGAAACACAGGATGACATTCATTTAGTGAGTTTGGTGATATTTGTTTGTTGTTTAACGACGCACTCAGCAATATTCCCGCAACATGACGGCAGTCTGTAAATAATCGAATCTGGACCAGACAATCCAGTGACTGACATCATGATCTACACAATTGGGATACAATGACATGCATCAACCAAGTCAGCGAGCCTGACCACCCGATCTTGTTAGTCGCCTCTCGCGACAAGCATAGTCGCCTGTTATGGCAAGCATGGGTTGCTGAAGACCTATTCTACCACGGATCTTCACGGGTCGAGTTGGGTTATAAGCCGCTTAGATGAGTTATATCATGGAATGTCACCGTGTTCATAACTCAACACAGTTGCGTCCTACTAAACAGTGTGGGCAATAAGTTCCCATAGTACCAGCCAGCCAGGCTAGCTCTATAATATGAGTTGCCAGTCATTCTGTTGTTAAACTAAATCTGGTAGCAGAGAGAATAAATATATTTAAGTTAAGTTAAGAGAGACAGAGAGACTGAGAGACAGAGAGTCTGAGAGAAAGAGAGACTGAGACAGAGAGACAGAGAGTCTGAGAGCCAGAGAGACTGAGAGACAGACAGAGAGACTGAGACAGAGAGACTTGGAGACTGAGAGACAGGGAGACAGAGAGACAGACAGAGAGACTGAGAGACAGGGAGGCAGAGAGACTGAGAGACAGGGAGAGAGAGAGACTGAGAGACTGAGACAGAGAGACTGAGACAGAGAGACTGGGAGACTGAGAGACAGGGAGACAGGGAGACAGACAGAGAGACTGAGACAGAGAGACAGGGAGAGAGAGAGACAGAGACAGAGAGACAGAGAGACAGAGACAGAGAGACTGAGACAGAGACAGAGAGACTGAGACAGAGAGACAGAGACAGAGAGACTGAGACAGAGAGACTGAGACAGAGGGACTGAGAGTCAGAGAGACTGAGACTGAGAGACAGGGAGACAGAGACAGAGAGACTGAGACAGAGAGACAGAGACAGGGAGACAGAGACAGAGAGACTGAGACAGAGAGACAGGGACAGAGAAACTGAGACAGGGAGACTGAGACAGAGAGACTGAGACAGAGAGACTGAGACAGGGAGACAGAGAGACTGAGCTACAGAGAGAAAGAGAGACTGAGACAGAGAGACTGAGAGACAGGGAGACAGAGACAGAGAGACTGAGAGGCCGAGAGACAGAGAGACTGAAAGACAGAGACTGAGAGACAGGGAGACCGAGAGACTGAGAGACAGGGAGACAGAGAGACTGAGAGACAGGGAGACAGAGACTGAGACAGAGAGACTGAGAGACAGGGAGACAAAGACAAAGAGACTGAGAGACAGAGAGACTGAGAGACAGAGAGACTGAGAGACAGGGAGACAGAGACAGAGAGACTGAGAGACAGAGAGACTGAGAGACAGAGAGACAGAGAGACTGAGACAGAGACAGAGACAGAGAGACAGAGAGACTGAGAGACAGAGAGACTGAGAGACAGAGAGACTGAGACAGAGAGACTGAGAGACAGGGAGATAGAGAGACAGAGACTGAGAGACAGAGTCTGAGAGAAAGAGAGACTGAGACTGAGAGACAGACAGAGAGACTGAGACAGAGAGACAGAGTCTGAGAGAAAGAGAGACTGAGACAGAGAGACAGAGAGACTGAGAGACAGAGACAGAGAGACAGAGACAGAGATACAGAGACAGAGAGACAGAGAAAGAGAGACTGAGACAGAGAGACTGAGAGACTGAGACAGAGAGACAGAGAGACTGAGACAGAGAGACTGAGAGACAGGGAGACAGGGAGACTGAGAGACAGAGAGACTGAGAGACAGGGAGACAGAGAGACAGAGAGACTGAGAGACAGAAACAGAGATACTGAGAGACAGGGAGACAGAGAGACTGAGAGACAGGGAGACAGAGAGGCTGAGAGACAGAGAGACTGAGAGACAGGGAGACAGAGAGACTGGGTGACAGAGAGACTGAGAGACAGAGAGACAGAGAGACTGAGAGACAGAGAGCCTGAGAGACAGGGAGACTGAGAAAGAGAGACTGAGAGACAGAGACAGAGAGACTGAGAGACAGGGAGACAGAGATACTGAGAGACAGGGAGACAGAGGGACTGAGAGACAGGGAGACAGAGAGGCTGAGAGACAGAGAGACAGGGAGACAGAGAGACTGGGTGACAGAGAGACTGAGAGACAGAGAGACTGAGAGACAGTAAGCCTGAGAGACAGGGAGACTGAGAAAGAGAGACTGAGAGACAGAGACAGAGAGACTGAGAGACAGGGAGACAGAGAGACTGAGAGGCTGAGAGACTGAGAGACAGGGAGACAGGGAGACATAGAGACAGAGAGACTGGGTGACAGAGAGACTGAGAGACAGAGAGACTGAGAGACAGGGAGACAGAGACAGAGAGACTGAGACAGAGAGACAGGGAGACAGAGAGACTGAGAGACAGAGAGACTGAGAGACAGGGAGACAGAGACAGAGAGACTGAGACAGAGAGACTGAGAGACTGAGAGACAGAGAGACCGAGAGACAGGGAGACAGAGTCTGAGAGAAAGAGAGACTGAGACAGAGAGACAGAGAGACTGAGAAACAGAGAGACTGAGAGACAGAGACAGAGAGACTGAGACAGAGAGACCGAGAGACAGAGAGACAGAGAGACTGAGACCGAGACTGAGAGACTGAGACAGAGAGACTGAGACAGAGAGACAGAGAGACCGAGAGACAGGGAGACAGAGTCTGAGAGAAAGAGAGACTGAGACAGAGAGACAGAGAGACTGAGAAACAGAGAGACTGAGAGACAGAGACAGAGAGACTGAGACAGAGAGACTGAGAGACAGAGAGACTGAGACAGAGACTGAGAGACGGGGAGACAGAGAGACTGAGACAGAGAGACTGAGACAGAGAGACAGAGAGACCGAGAGACAGAGAGACTGAGAGACTGAGACTGAGAGACAGAGAGACTGAGAGACTGTGAGACAGAGACAGGGAGACAGAGAGACTGAGAGACAGGGAGACAGAGAGACTGAGAGACTGAGAGACTGAGAGACAGGGAGACAGAGAGACTGAGAGACTGAGACTGAGAGACAGAGAGACTGAGAGACAGAGAGACAGAGAGACAGAGAGACTGAGAGACAGAGACTGAGAGACAGAGAGACTGAGAGACTGTGAGACTCACATGATGGATGTACTGGCCTCTCCACTCTCCCAGCTTGTCCATGGTGAAGCCGGGGGGCCACAAGGCAGCCACCGTGTGGTTCCCCGTCAACATGAAGCAGATGGTCAGCGCAAAGGAGTAGACATCGGCCTTGCCCGACAGTTCGGGACGAAAATCCATCGGGATATTGGGCATTTTGGAAGTCAGCAAGAGAAGACATGCCTCAGGGCTCATGTACTCGGGAGTCCAACCATCAAACGTGACCAGCTGCTGGGGCGTCTTGCTGGTCCCAAAGTCCGTCAGCTTCAGGGTGACTGGGTCCAGCTTGATGCACACATTCTCAGCTGAAGATGTGGGACACAAAGGAATTTGTTAATATACATAGCTTTGATTGTATGTCATGTAAAGGTGAAATCAGTGGAGGTGAAATAGGGTTGCACTTGTCCACAACACTCACCTGCTTGTCATATGAGTGACTATACTGTATCATGTGGTCATGCTTGGTTTGATTGTACCCTGTAGATGGGGCCATTCATTGCTCAAAATGAAATTTGATATCTACCACTTGTTTGTCTATCTTGGACTAAATTATTTACGGGGCATCTTGCTACAGCTTGGAAAAAGCTGTCTGCAATGTCAAACAAACAAAGAAATAAGCTGCTGCTTGCACTTACGCTTTATGTCGAGATGTAGGATGCCGAATCTCTCGTACATATATTCCAGACCCGAGAACCCCTGGTTGGCAAGGGAGGTAACTACGTCGTCTGTCAGGAACTCCTTGTACGCAGTCTTGTGCTCATTCATAAACACCTTCAATGAGTCACCTGTAACCCATGGTAACCAGAAGAGTGGCGTAAGTGAATGTTGTTTATTAATTGCAATCACCAATATTAGAACTATGATTCTAGGGATGGTCAGGTGGGCAGAGAATGTGGGTCCAGTAAGGTGGGTAGAGAATGTAGCCAGAATCAGGTTGGAGAAGAATGTTGGTAGAGTAAGGTGGGTAGAGTAAGGTGGGCGGAGTCAGGTGGGTAGAGTAAGGTAGGTAGAGTAAGGTGGGTAGAGTAAGGTGGGCAGAGTCAGGTGGGTAGAGTAAGGTGGGCAGAGTCAGGTAGGTAGAGTAAGGTAGGTAGAGTAAGGTAGGTAGAGTAAGGTAGGTAGAGTAAGGTGGGCAGAGTCAGGTGGGCGGAGTCAGGTGGATAGAGTCAGGTGGGTAGAGTAAGGTAGGTAGAGTCAGGTGGGCGGAGTCAGGTGGGTAGAGTAAGGTAGATAGAGTAAGGTAGGTAGAGTAAGGTAGGTAGAGTAAGGTGGGCAGAGTCAGATGGGTGGAGAATGTGGGCAGACTCAGATGGGTGGAGAATGTGGGCAGACTCAGATGGGTGGAGAATGTGGGCGGAGTCAGATGGGCGGAGAATGTGGGCAGACTCAGATGGGTGGAGAATGTGGTCAGACTCAGATGAGTGGAGAATGTGGGCAGACTCAGATGAGTGGAGAATGTGGGCAGACTCAGATGAGTGGAGAATGTGGGCGGAGTCAGATGGGTGGAGAATGTGGGCAGACTCAGATGGGTGGAGAATGTAGGCAGACTCAGATGGGTGGAGAATGTGGGCGGAGTCAGATGGGCGGAGAATGTGGGCAGACTCAGATGGGTGGAGAATGTGGTCAGACTCAGATGGGTGGAGAATGTGGGCAGACTCACTTGAGTGGAGAATGTGGGCAGACTCAGATGAGTGGAGAATGTGGGCAGACTCAGATGAGTGGAGAATGTGGGCAGACTCAGATGGGTGGAGAATGTGGGCGGAGTCAGATGGGTGGAGAATGTGGGCAGACTCAGATGAGTGGAGAATGTGGGCAGACTCAGATGGGTGAAGAATGTGGGCGGAGTCAGATGGGTGGAGAATGTGGGCAGACTCAGATGGGTGGAGAATGTGGGCAGACTCAGATGAGTGGAGAATGTGGGCGGAGTCAGATGGGCGGAGAATGTGGGCAGACTCAGATGGGTGGAGAATGTGGGCAGACTCAGATGGGTGGAGAATGTGGGCGGAGTCAGATGGTCGGAGAATGTGGGCACTCAGATGAGTGGAGAATGTGGGCAGACTCAGATGGGTGGAGAATGTAGGCAGACTCAGATGGGTGGAGAATGTAGGCAGACTCAGATGGGTGGAGAATGTGGGCAGAGTCAGATGGGCGGAGAATTTGGGCAGACTCAGATGGGTGGAGAATGTGGGCAGACTCAGATGGGTGGAGAATGTGGGCGGAGTCAGATGGGTGGAGAATGTAGGCGGAGTCAGATGGGTGGAGAATGTAGGCGGAGTCAGATGGTCGGAGAATGTGGGCACTCAGATGAGTGGAGAATGTGGGCAGACTCAGATGGGTGGAGAATGTGGGCGGAGTCAGATGGGTGGAGAATGTGGGCGGACTCAGATGGGTGGAGAATGTAGGCGGAGTCAGATGGTCGGAGAATGTGGGCACTCAGATGAGTGGAGAATGTGGGCAGACTCAGATGGGTGGAGAATGTGGGCACTCAGATGAGTGGAGAATGTGGGCACTCAGATGGGTGGAGAATGTGGGCGGAGTCAGATGGGTGGAGAATGTGGGCAGACTCAGATGGGTGGAGAATGTGGGCAGACTCAGATGGGTGGAGAATGTGGGCAGACTCACTTGAGTGGAGAATGTGGGCAGACTCAGATGGGTGGAGAATGTGGGCAGACTCAGATGGGTGGAGAATGTGGGCAGACTCAGATGAGTGGAGAATGTGGGCAGACTCAGATGAGTGGAGAATGTGGGCAGACTCAGATGAGTGGAGAATGTGGGCGGAGTCAGATGGGTGGAGAATGTGGGCAGACTCAGATGGGTGGAGAATGTGGGCGGAGTCAGATGGGTGGAGAATGTGGGCAGACTCAGATGAGTGGAGAATGTGGGCAGACTCAGATGAGTGGAGAATGTGGGCGGAGTCAGATGGGTGGAGAATGTGGGCAGACTCAGATGGGTGGAGAATGTGGGCAGACTCAGATGAGTGGAGAATGTGGGCGGAGTCAGATGGGTGGAGAATGTGGGCACTCAGATGAGTGGAGAATGTGGGCAGACTCAGATGAGTGGAGAATGTGGGCAGACTCAGATGGGTGGAGAATGTGGGCGGAGTCAGATGGGTGGAGAATGTGGGCAGACTCAGATGGGTGGAGAATGTGGGCGGAGTCAGATGGGCGGAGAATGTGGGCAGACTCAGATGGGTGGAGAATGTGGGCAGACTCAGATGGGTGGAGAATGTGGGTGGACTCAGATGGGTGGAGAATGTGGGCGGAGTCAGATGGTCGGAGAATGTGGGCACTCAGATGAGTGGAGAATGTGGGCAGACTCACTTGAGTGGAGAATGTGGGCAGACTCAGATGGGTGGAGAATGTGTGCAGACTCAGATGGGTGGAGAATGTGGGCGGAGTCAGATGAGTGGAGAATGTGGGCAGACTCAGATGGGTGGAGAATGTGGGCAGACTCAGATTGGTAGAGAATGTGGGCGGCGTCAGAAGGATGGAGAATGTGGGCGGAGTCATGTATGTGGAGAAGACTGACCTCCATATTCCATCATGATCTCGTGAATGCCATCACGGAGGATGTAACCACGGAAACCAGTGATGCTGGGGTGAGACAGCTGCATCAACACCTCCACCTCCTTCTTCTTGAATCTGTCTTTGATCTGAAACAGTATGGTTTCCGTGAGTCCTGGGAGTCTTAGTCCATCTTGTAGGGGTGAAACCCAATTGCGTGGATCGATGCTAATGACATCAACCACTGGATTGTCTGGTCCAGCGTCAATTTTTTTACAGACTGCCGTCATATTGCTGGTGAGTGCGGCGTTAAACAACAACCAAATAAACAAAACTTACAGATTGGACTACAAGTTGATCAGGGGTGCTAACTCGAGCAGGGTGCTTTAATAAAGGGAATAAGGTATGTCGATTAGTCTTAAAAAGAGGTTTGCATAAAGACTGTACTAAAATGTGCTGCTGTGGTGGCCATTTTCATTGTTTGAAAACAACATATCTATTCAGAGACATGTAGAACAAGGGAATATGACACTGACATGTCCAGCTGTTTTGAGTTAGTGAGTATGGTTTTATGTTTTTTGACGAGCCAATGCTGTAACCACTAGGCTACCCCACCGCCCCTTCAGAAGAATTGCTTCAGTACTAATGGAGGGACGGACAAGACCCATGACGTGGATCTGGCTAAATCACTTGGACGTTGTCAAGCAAAGATTCGATCTGAAGAAAAATTCTAGGTGACTCACCACTTTCATCACATACTCCTGTCCTCCGAAATGGCGGCAGAGAGACACGCTACCAAACGACCCATTGCCTAGGTGCCGGACGAACTTGAACTGATCACACTCCCCCTCCTCAAACAGACCGTCGAAAGATGGTGGCAGACTCTGCAACCAATCAGGAGTTTTGATGACAATGTATATATAGTTACCATGGTTTCCAGTGTACGTATTTGCAATAATGATAGTAACATTTCCTAGGAAACCTGATGCTGACATGTGCAAAAATTTTACCAACAAATAACTACCGTACTCCAGCTTCATAAAATATGTTGAACACATTTCTTCATAAAATGTTAATGCGAATACGTGGTTATCTACTCACAACTTGGAATTAGTAAGCCTCCGAACTGACAACGCTCATTCACTCAGGTCAGATAATTAATTGATAGATAATTGATTATCTCTATTATTTTACTATTGTCAGTAGAAGACACTATGATTACCACTCGAAGATCATAATTTAGGACCTGTGAAGATCCGGGGTAGAATAGGTCTTCAGCAACCCATGCTTGCCGTAAAAGGCCGTAATTTTACATCTTTCTTACATAAAACAGCAGCGTAGAAGGGCTATGTAACAGCCTTGTAACTATTATATCCATAAAGTTTTGACATTTGGTTCTTTCACCACCGACCCGTGAAGATTCCGGGGTAGAATAGGTCTTCAGCAACCCATGCTTGCTGTAAAAGGCGACCATGCTTGTTGTAAAAGGCGACTAACAGGATCGGGTGGTCAGGCTCGCTGACTTGGTTGATGCATGTCATTGATCCCAACTGCATGGATCGAAGCCTGGGTGAGTGACTGAGTGAGTGAATGAGTACAGACACTGGGTGATTGAGTGAGTGAATACAGACACTCGGTGAGTGAGTGAGTGAATACAGACACTGGGAGAGTGAGTACAGACACTGGGTGAGTGAGTACAGACACTGGGTGAGTGAGGACAGACACGGGGTGAGTGAGTACAGACACATGGAGAGTGAGTACAGACACTGGGTGAGTGAGGACAGACATGGGGTGAATTAGTACAGACGCTGGGTGAGTGAGTACAGACACTGGGTGAGTGAGTACAGACACTGGGTGAGTGAGTACAGACACTGGGTGAGTGAGTACAGACTGGGTGAGTGAGTACAGACACTGGGTGAGTGAGTACAGACACTGGGTGAGTGAGTACAGACACTGGGTGAGTGAGTACAGGCGCTGGGTGAGAGTACAGGCGCTGGGTGAGTGAGTACAGACACTGGGTGAGTGAGTACAGACACTGGGTGAGTGAGTACAGGCGCTGGGTGAGTGAGGACAGACACTGGGTGAGTGAGTACAGACACTGGGTGAGTGAGTACAGACACTGGGTGAGTGAGTACAAACACTGGGTGAGTGAGTACAGACTGGGTGAGTGAGTACAGACATGGGGTGAGTGAGTACAGACACTGGGTGAGTGAGTACAGACACTGCGTGAGTGAGTACAGACACTGGGTGAGTGAGTACAGACACTGCGTGAGTGAGTACAGACACTGGGTGAGTGAGTACAGACACTGGGTGAGTGAGTACAGGCGCTGGGTGAGTGAGTACAGGCGCTTGGTGAGTGAGTACAGACACTGGGTGAGTGAGTACAGACACTGGGTGAGTGAGTACAGGCGCTGGGTGAGTGAGGACAGACACTGGGTGAGTGAGTACAGACACTGGGTGAGTGAGTACAGACACTGGGTGAGTGAGGACAGACACTGGGTGAGTGAGGACAGACACGGGGTGAGTGAGTACAGACACATGGAGAGTGAGTACAGACACTTGGTGAGAGAGTACAGACACTGGGTGAGTGAGTACAGACACTGGGTGAGTGAGGACAGACACTGGGTGAGTGAGGACAGACACTGGGTGAGTGAGGACAGACACGGGGTGAGTGAGTACAGACACATGGAGAGTGAGTACAGACACTGGGTGAGTGAGGACAGACACGGGGTGAATTAGTACAGACGCTGGGTGAGTGAGTACAGACACGGGGTGAACACCGAGAAGAGACTACTCACCATGTCCATGATGACGCCATGTGTTCCAATGTTCAAGTCTGTCGCATTCAGCAGCCCGGACACGGCTTTCTTCGTTCCCATGACAACAAACCTACAACAGTGTCAGACACACACACATCAGCACTGACGAAGGAATACACAGTGTAGACATAACTCAGTGGACAAAGTCAGTCTTCAATCACTGAACAATGACTCCTTTGATTTCATTTAAAGATTTGAATTTTGATACAAAACAGATGAAAAGATGATTACCACAAGCATGCACAAACGCTGTGTGTAGTGAAGTATCATTACTCTCAAGCACGTTGAAGATGCTTGTCTTTCTTCTCATGTTTTCCACTGCCTGAATCTTAACATACAGAAACCAACCCAACCTCCGAAAATTTGTCATTTATATCTAGAATATTAAAAATTACAGTATTTGACGTAATAAGCGCTCAAAGCTAATATATTGGCTAGTGAACAATCCCAAAAAGCACCCCTTCCGATTGATCAATGTACACAAGACTTATTTATATGCACTCGTGTGTTATATGCACCCTTAATTGTGGGCAATTAAAATCTGGAAAGTTATATCTGTCATATATAAACATTTCAGGCTGTCAGCATAAACCACCAAATTTATCTTTCAACTCTGATTCTTCCATGAAAATAATTTTCTAATAAGAGGTCCCTATTTCTAATTTTGAGAGCACCTGGGCGCTTATTACGCTGAATACGATAAGTTAAGTTGAATTTCTTATCAAATGTTTTACCTTGACAATACAATGTTCTGATGAGACTAATTGTGACCAGACATTATCTTGCTCCTTCATGTGTTCATCATAGTGTCAGGCTTAACCCTTCATGTGTTCATCATAGTGTAAGGCTTAACCCTTCATGTGTTCATCATAGTGTCAGGCTTAACCCTTCATGTGTTCATCATAGTGTCAGGCTTAACCCTTCATGTGTTCATCATAGTGTAAGGCTTAACCCTTCATGTGTTCATCATAGTGTCGGGCTTAACCCTTCATGTGTTCATCATAGTGTCGGGTCTTAACCCTTCATGTGTTCATCAAAGTGTCAGACTTAACCCTTCATGTGTTCATCATAGTGTCAGACTTAACCCTTCATGTGTTCATCATAGTGTCGGGTCTTAACCCTTCATGTGTTCATCAAAGTGTCAGACTTAACCCTTCATGTGTTCATCAAAGTGTCAGGCTTAACCCTTCATGTGTTCATCATAGTGTCGGGCTTAACCCTTCATGTGTTCATCATAGTGTAAGGCTTAACCCTTCATGTTTTCATCATAGTGTCGGGTCTTAACCCTTCATGTGTTCATCATAGTGTCGGGTCTTAACCCTTTATGTGTTCATCATAGTGTCGGGTCTTAACCCTTCATGTGTTCATCATAGTGTCAGACTTAACCCTTCATGTGTTCATCATAGTGTCGGGTCTTAACCCTTCATGTGTTCATCAAAGTGTCAGACTTAACCCTTCATGTGTTCATCATAGTGTCGGGTCTTAACCCTTCATGTGTTCATCAAAGTGTCAGACTTAACCCTTCATGTGTTCATCATAGTGTCGGGTCTTAACCCTTCATGTGTTCATCATAGTGTCTGACTTAACCCTTCATGTGTTCATCATAGTGTCGGGCTTAACCCTTCATGTGTTCATCATAGTGTCAGACTTAACCCTTCATGTGTTCATCATAGTGTCGGGTCTTAACCCTTCATGTGTTCATCATAGTGTCGGGCTTAACCCTTCATGTGTTCATCATAGTGTTGGGTCTTAACCCTTCATGTGTTCATCATAGTGTCAGGCTTAACCCTTCATGTGTTCATCATAGTGTAAGGCTTAACCCTTCATGTGTTCATCATAGTGTAAGGCTTAACCCTTCATGTGTTCATCATAGTGTAAGGCTTAACCCTTCATGTGTTCATCATAGTGTCGGGCTTAACCCTTCATGTGTTCATCATAGTGTCGGGTCTTAACCCAACATGTGTTCATCATAGTGTCAGGCTTAACCCTTCATGTGTTCATCATAGTGTCCGGCTTAACCCTTCATGTGTTCATCATAGTGTCCGGCTTAACCCTTCATGTGTTCATCATAGTGTCGGGTCTTAACCCTTTCATGTGTTCATCATAGTGTCGGGTCTTAACCCTTCATGTGTTCATCATAGTGTCGGGTCTTAACCCTTCATGTGTTCATCATAGTGTCAGACTTAACCCTTCATGTGTTCATCATAGTGTCAGGCTTACCCCTTCATGTGTTCATCATAGTGTAAGGCTTAACCATTCATGTGTTCATCATAGTGTCGGGTCTTAACCCTTCATGTGTTCATCATAGTGTCAGGCTTAACCCTTCATGTGTTCATCATAGTGTCGGGTCTTAACCCTTCATGTGTTCATCATAGTGTCAGGCTTAACCCTTCATGTGTTCATCATAGTGTAAGGCTTAACCCTTCATGTGTTCATCATAGTGTCAGACTTAACCCTTCATGTGTTTATCATAGTGTAAGGCTTAACCCTTCATGTGTTCATCATAGTGTCGGGCTTAACCCTTCATGTGTTCATCATAGTGTAAGGCTTAACCCTTCATGTGTTCATCATAGTGTCAGACTTAACCCTTCATGTGTTTATCATAGTGAAAGGCTTAACCCTTCATGTGTTCATCATAGTGTAAGGCTTAACCCTTCATGTCTCTATCATAGTGTAAGGCTTAACCCTTCATGTGTTCATCATAGTGTCGGGCTTACCCCTTCATGTGTTTATCATAGTACCGGGAGTTGAGGTGGCTGAAGTCATCAAAGTTGTCCTCATACAATCCAAATTGTTTGAAATTGTCGGGCATGACATAACTTTCCACCCTGACTCCACGTTGATAACCTCCCTTGTTGGTCTTGCCATTGTTGATAATAGCGTCAACCCAAGCATCCTGTCTCAGATGGATGTTCAAGTTTTCAGTGGTGTTGGATCCAAGCTTTTCGGCAACAACTTTGACATTTTCTTTCTTCTTGTTGCTATGGAGACTGACATGCTCTTTGTTTGGTGTTTGGCAAACAATTCCACTGCTCACGTCTATCTCAGGTGCCTTGAACTTGGCTGGTTTGATGATGTTCCCAATTTTCTTGCCTGATAGTCTGGTATCAAGACAGGCTTTCTTGGCGGGAAAGCTTTCATCCTCTGCAAACTCCAGAACAAGATCATCAGAGCCCCCTAGGGAGAAGAAATGTCAACAATTCAGAAAACACAGACTAGTGAAATCCTAAACAAGAACATGTTAAACATCACAAACAAACTTGAAAATTAGTGAAATCTTAAATAGATTTCATTTGTATACTTATCCTGCATTACTCCTTAATATAATATTCCAAAATAGCGAAGGTAATATGAAAAGAATACATCACCCATCCCAGATATAATTTAGAGCAATAGACGGAGCCTAGGGTCTAAAATAAATCCAATTTGAAGAGCTCAGCTGAGAGACGTCCTTGCTATTACGCGACAGGCAGTGATGTGAAGAAGGTGACTTGTCATCAAGGTCACATGACAGCAGCGATGGTCCATGCAAAAAGCAGGAGTCAAAAACGGAAACATCTTTTTTCCCATCAAGACCATCGCTGAGCACTGTCTTTAGTTGTCGTAAGGTAAGCTTTTTCTTGTTTTGTTTGTTTGTTGTTTAACGCCGCACTCAGCAATATTCCAGCTATATGACGGCAGTCTGTAAATAATTGTGCCTGGACCAGACAATCCAGTGATTGACATCATGAGCATTGATCCACGCAATTGGGATCGATGACATGCATCAACCAAGTCAGCGAGCCTGACCAACCGATCCTGTTAGTCGCCTTTTACGACAAGCATAGCAGCCTTTTATGGCAAGCATGGGTTGCTGAAGACCTATTCTACCCCGGATCTTCACGGGTCTGTAAGGTAAGCAGTGAATGTATTGAAGAGTAATGCAGTATAAGTAAAAAATGTAACTATTCAACAAATCCCATTAAAAACATGTGGATAGAATTTAGAGCTCATCACATGAGTGTGTTTGGGGATCTTAAATATCCTGTATTAGGAATAAACATTGTAGTTAGTGAGCCTCGGCCATGAAGATTGTACATTATTTATCATTGATTGATTGATTTGTGTTTGTGTTTGTGCAGAGAGAATACACTCTCATCCTAAAAGAAGAAACTCAGTGTCCAAATAAATCTTACCAATTCCAATTTGAATTTCACCTCCATGAAGTTCGCTTCCATATAGAAATGAACTCTCCCCCGTTGCCGTCACAACTTGATGCTGTGTCGGCTCCGACTGATCCACAGGGTGGAAATTAGGGAGACGATGCATTTTTATGTCCTGAAATATAACAGCAATATTAACATAATCCACAATAGGTGACTTACAATGATGTGGTTTTAACACTGTTTTAAACAGCAAATATTATCACATGTATAGTATATCAGCAGCTGTTATGAGTGCTGGATGAACTTCCAAAGTGATGCAGGTCACACATCACAGACATATGGTAAATCACTTGTCAGGCCAAAGTTGGTTGGTTTGTTGTTTAACGCCGCACTCAGCAATATTCCAGCTATATGACAGCGGTCTGTAAATAATCAAGTTTGGACCTGACAATCCTGTGATTCATATCATGAGCATCGATCCACGCATTTGGGGTCGATGACATGCATCAACCAAGTCAGCGAGCCTGACCACCCGATCCCATTAGTCGCCTCTTACGACAAGCATAGTCGCCTTTTATGGCAAACATGGGTTGCTGAAGACCTATTCTACCCCGGATCTTCACGGGTCGTCAAGCCAGAGATGTATACAGATACATATGTTTTTGGTCAAGCCAACAAACAAGGGTGATGCAAGTCACACATCACGTACATATGGTTAACCACTTCTGTCAAGCCAGAGATGTATACAGACACATACGTTTTTGGTCAAGCCAACAAACATGGGTGATGCAAGTCACACATCACGTACATGTGATAAACCACTTGTGTCAAGCCAGAGATGTATACAGATACATACGTTTTTGGTCAAGCCAACAAACATGGGTGATGCAAGTCACACATCACGTACATATGATAAACCACTTGTGTCAAGCCAACAAACATGGATGATGCAAGTCTCACATCACATACATATGATAAACCACTTGTGTCAAGCCAACAAACATAGTTGATGCACTGATGGATCAAGGATCCTCATCAAGAGTAATACAAAACCACAATGTGGTTTCAGATATGCAGGTTTTATTGAGTATCTACTGCCCGGAAATTTCATTTGGATCCGACCGCATTTATCCACATTCTATAAGACAGAAGTAATCAGTAATTTTCTGAAGCAACATCTCCCTATGTGAACTCTCCTCATTGACTTGACATCACTCTGAAAAGCTATAAAGTCAACCTGAAAAGCTATGAGGTCACACTGGAATGCGAGGACAATGGATGATGTGACATACTTCTGTGACAACTCAACTTCTGTGACAATAACAACAAAACCAATGTTGTTCTGATAAATATTAATCAAACTGAATATTTAAATAATGTGGTATTCATTTCCCAAAAATGAAAATCAAATTTTTCTAATTTGGGACTGAGGAAAAAAAGGATACTTATCAAGAAACATATTCATACGCAGCAAATAATCCTGAGCATTGCATGGCTTTGAATCCCATTCCCCAACCAATCAGATAACAGCAGCCACTCCCATCCTTTACAATTGTCCAATACACCATGTAACAAGTGATACTGAGTGAACAAGGATGTAAAAATGGGGGAATTTGAGATTCAACCACAGCCAGGGCACACTGGCTGATAATTCATGAAACTGCATGAACAGTTGTGCCACCTTAGTTCACTCATACCAGGGGTTTCATGAAAAAAACAACTTAAAAACTAAGCAATGAGTTAGCATGGTCATCGTATATACACGGTAAAGGGATGTCACAATGCCAGAGATAAGCAAAAACGATTACTAAGTCATTAATGATGAAACATTTTTTATTCAATGAATCTGGATTGGTAAACAGGCCAAGGAGGCTTATGTTAATACCTCTCCAGTCATTGATTATGACATCATATTCTACAGTATGGCACGCACAGGAATTAACAGTCAGGATGACTTCATGTTTATACTGATTTTTGAGGGGTGAATTAAAAACCCATGCACAGTTCTGACCCTACCTGGTTTAAATGAAACATTACTGACAAGGATGTGAACGTGTTTTTTAATCATACGTCTCACAATTATTGAATTGTGACAGGACAGGGCAGACATTATCAATCATCACAGCTACATCGTATTTGATTATTACAGTCGTTATACTACTTATTAGGTTGACCTTGACGAGCCTCTGTCATTCTATTTTTCAACTTAAAGCGTACAACACAGCCGTATAAATTGTAGTCTTGTACAAAGAATGAAACGGAATGATGCAAAACATCGAACATGTACGTATGACGTACTATTCTTTCATAAACACGATATCTTAGATGAGCTGTATGATAAATTAAAGATTGAAGAACGCAAAAACGTTAGTTATTTACCTGATTTTCAACTGTTTCGGGTTTTTTTCCACATTTTGTACTGATATATGTTCCTTCTCTACTCAGGCCAAAATGGCCCCATCCACTCTCCTGGAAATTCCCGTTCCAGAATTTATATCTCGGATTTGTCTTTTAATACGAAATCCGTAATCATTCAAAACATGTTAAGGCAACTTTTATATCTACATGGAGTGATATAAGAATAACATAACTGCAATGGTTTGTACACAGTGATATGATCAGTAATTATTGTAAAACATGCTGTAAGTAGTTTCTATAGAAATAACTTCGTTTCATTTACTAGCTTTCATTTTGAATAATTCACGTTAACGTAAATTGTCGGAAAATCCCGAACATGTGAAATAGGAAAGGGGAATCCCCCTCATTATGCGTTTGCAAGGCGGAAGTTGACATCACACTCCTACCCAGAGTGCTATGCGGCTTGTTGCCAATAAAGGGCGGCCGAATGTTCAAATCTGTTTCACAGATAGATACTATAGATAGTGGTTCTATATTTCCTCCATAATGTGACGATTACAGCATATATATTATACTTGTAGAGTCATTGCACCACAAAAGCTAATTTAATGATAGTGGAAATCAACAGTAGCGGTATATATATAGAGAATCTCACCCGAGTGTCTTTTGATATCAAATACTGTGAGATTTTCTACTTTTATCAACGAGTGTTGATATATTTGATATCCAAAGACACGAGGGTGAGTTTTATTTATCATCCAACATAATTCTTCCAACTTTTCAGTTTGTAGACAGTAATAAGCAGTGTCTAAGTGTAAAAAGTACTGCTCACAGCTTCAGTAGCAGAGCCATTAGTGATGTCATTTGATTGTGATTGCAGTGTCTAAAGGGCAAGTTCACGCTATTTTTCTTGTACTTTTTCATCATGAAAAGTATTTATTAGGCAGCTTCAGAGGCAAAACAATAAAAATATCACAAGTATTTAATTTATTTTATTCATTAAATCAGTTCATATTTTTCACATTTACCGAGAGTTCTATTTCAATGATAAACACACCATGGCTTATGCCCCTTGCAATATGACGTCATTGGTGCCTATTGATAAAGGAATGACGCCATAAGACTTTATTAGACCCGTTTCACGTGGTGTGTGATCTTCTCAATGTCCCAAACATTCCATTTGGAGTGACATCCATGGGTTTTACAAACGGCAGAAAATGGCGGCTACGGCAATGTCATTCGCTTGAAATAAAAGTTGCACCTAGTAAAGTTTGCGTTGGAAAGAAGTCCAGACGCGGCTGATGTTGAAAATGGATTGCTATTAACGTTCTGTGAACTTTGGGTGTGTGTTTGAGTCATACTACGGCTGCTGATGACGGGGATTACCGCTTGAGGCAAGAATGGGTATAAAAACATGTGCGTTAACGGGATTCCATATGCATTGTTTAGCATCGTGCTGACAAGAACCACTCAGAAAAACAACAAAATTACGCAATTATTCAACATTACGAAATGCCACGCCTGTCAGAAAATGAGCGTCTTCGAGCCATTGGTATGCTTGAAGCAGGATCGAGTCAACGTGATGTTGCAAGAAAATTTAACGTCCACAGAAACACAATTTGGTGTTTATGGCAACGTTGGCAACAGACGAATGCAGTCAGAGACCATCCTCGGAGTGGCAGGCCACGCGTAACCAATAATCAACAAGACAACTGGATTCAAACAATACACCTACGAAATCGATTCCAGCCAGCAACAGTGACTGCAAGAAGCATCCCTGGCCTTCGACGAATATCTTCACAAACCGTACGTCGCCGCCTCAGATTTGCAGGGATTGTCGCCAGAAGACCCGCCAGAGGTCCCATTTTGACAGGAAACCACCGTCAAGCACGTCTACAGTGGTGCAGACAGCGTCTACGCTGGACGGCCATGCAGTGGGGACAAGTTCTATTCACTGATGAGTCTCGTTTTCACCTCAGCCACAGCGATGGACGGATTCGAGTGTACCGACGGCGAGGTGAACGTTATGTCAATCATTGTGTCATGGAAGAAGATCGGTTCGAGGGCGGCAGCGTTATGGTATGGGATGGGATTACAGCAAGACAGAAGACCCGTCTAATAGTGGTAGAGGGAAATCCGCGACGAGATCATCGGCCCTGTTGTTCTACCGTTTTTGCGTCGTCATGGCCCAGGCATGACCTTTCAACATGACAACGCCTGGCCTCATATTGCTCGACTTGTTCAGGATTCTTTTCAACAAAACAACGCGAATGTCATCCCCTGGCCGGCTCCCTCCCCTGTTCTCTCACCAATCGAGCACATGTGGGATGAGATGGATCGGCGCCTTCGACGTCAACCACGTGTTCCAAAGACACTCCAGGAACTTCGAAACATGCTCCAGCAGATATGGACAGATATCCCACAGGACTTTGTGCGACGCCTGCTCCATTCCATGAGACGAAGATGTGTTGCTTGCATCGCAACCAGAGGTGGACAGACACGCTATTGATTTGTAAATTGACCTTTTGGCATGTTCATGTTTTTTATATGAAATTACGCATTTGCTGAAGTCAGTATGGCAAATTAAACCATTTGAACACTTACAGGAGTCTTTCATTCCTTGCAAACCGAAATTGTTTCAGATTTGGTAAAAAACATAACTTTGCATTAAATTTTATTCAATGTCACAGGAACTTTTGTTGTTCAGTATTGAAGACGTGTTTCAAGGGAAAAAACTGTCGCCGATCAAGAATCGACTGTTTTGTGTCAACATTGTCCACGTACTCCAATTTTAACGTGTTTTTACGATTGGAAAATATAGTTCTGTTAAAAACCTTTAAAGATCACATTATTGCAGTTATATTTCTGTCTGATTTACACATCGTCAACTATCTAGCATTGATGATAGTTTGTTTGTTGTTTAACGCCGCATTCAGCAATATTACAACTAAATGACGGCGGTCTGTAAATAATCGAGTGTGGACCAGACAATCAAGAGATTGACATCATGAACATAGATCCACGCAATGGGATCGATGACATGCATCAACCAAGTCAGCGAGCCTGACCACCCGATCTCGTTAATAGCCTCTTACGACAAGCATAGTCACCTTTTACGGCAAGCGTGGGTTGCTGAAGACCTATTCTACCCCGGATCTTCATGGGTGTTATGAAGTGGTGTGTAACAACTGGAGCTGAACCACTAGAGGCCAACTCATTAAATGAAGTGTTGCGTCACAACTGGAGCTCAAACATTAGAGACCAACCATCATATAAAGTGGTGCTGACAACTGGAGCTGAAAGATGAGAGACCAACTCATTATATGAAATGGCGCGTCACACCTGTAGCTGAATTATTAGAGACCAACTCATTATATGAAGTGGCGCGTCACATCTGTAGCTGAAAAATAGAGAACAACTCATTATATGAAGTGGTGCATCACAACTGCAGCTGAAAAACTAGAGACCAAATCATATGAAGTGGCGTGTCACCAACTCATTAAAATTGGATTTTGCGCAACATTAAAAGACTAAATCATTGGTACTGGAGGTGGTACATTTCAATATAGACTATAGAGCCTTGATTTTGTTTTAACAATGATCCTTTGGTAGTGTCCAGGCACCTTGGTCGTCTAGGTATAACGTACAATTGTAGAAGGACATGCTTACATTCACTCAAAGTCACCGTCACTTTGGAAACTATTTGGAGTTAAGGTAGCACCGAGTTTACACCGTATTATTGAAAAAATGATTCTGTCTGGAAAAATAATCTGCTTCGTCTAAGTGATGCGTCTCAACTGGAACAAAAATCATAAAAGAAACCCAGCTCATATTGGTTGGAAGTGGCGCGTCACAACTGGATCTGAAAGATTTGGAGACCAAGTCCTTATATGAAGTGGTGCTCACAACTGGACCTGAAACATTAGAGGCCAACTAATGTGAAGTTGCGCTGACAACTGGAGCTGAAACATTAGAGACCAACTCATTATATGAAGTGGCGCATCACACCCGTAGATGAAACATTAGAGACCAACTCATTATAGGAAGTGGCGCATCAAAACTGGATCTGAAACATTAGAGACCAACTCTTTATAGGAAGTGGCGCATCACACCTGTAGCTGAAACATTATTGACCAACTCATTATAGGAAGGGGGGCTTACAACTGGAACTGAAACATTGGAGACCAACTCTTTAGGTGAAGTGGTGCTCACAACTGGACCTGGAACATTTGAGACCAACTAATGTGAACTGGTGCTCACAACTGGAGATGAAACATTAGAAAACAACTCATTATATGAAGAAGTGGTTACAACTGGAGCTGAAACATTGGAGGCCAACGTATCTGAAGTGGCACGTCACACCTGTAGCTGAAACATTGGAGACCAACTCATTATAGGAAGTGGTGCTTACAACTGGAGCTGAAACATTAGAGACCCAACTCATTATATGAAGTGATGCTTACAACTGGAGCTGAAACATTGGAGACCAACGTATCTGACGTGGCGTGTCACAACTGGAGATGAAACAATCGAGACTAACTCATGAAGTGTCACATCACAATCACAGCTGAAACATTAGAGACCAACTCATTATATGAAGTGTTGTGTCACAACTCGAGCTCAAACATTAGAGACCAACTCATCATATGAAGTGGTGCTCACAACTGGAGCTGAAACATTAGGGACCAACTCATTATATGAAGTGGCGCGTCACACCTGTAGCTGAAACATTAGAGACCAAGTCATTATATTAAGTGGTGCATCGTAACTGGAGATGAAACAAAAGAGAACAACTCATTATATGAAGTGGTGCATCACAACTGCAGCTGAAAAACTAGAGACCAAATCATATGAAGTGGCGTGTCACAACCAGAGCTGAAACAAATGAGACCAACTTATTACATAAAGTGGGGCATCACAACTTGAGCTGAAAAACAAGAGACCAGGTCATATGAAGTGGCATATCACAACCGGAGCTGAGGCATAAGAGACCAACTCACTATACCAGGAAGTGGCGCTTCTTGAATTGATCTGAACCATTGAAAGACCAACTCATTATAATTGGATTTTGCGCAACATTAAAAGACTAAATCATTGTTAGTGGAGGTGGTACATTTCAATATAGACTATAGAGTCTT